GGAAGGAGTTGCTTATTTGCATAATATGAAACCTAAGGCTCTCATTCACAGGTAATTCCTTTTCTCTATACCAGGGTGTCTACAAGTCCGGAATTTCTGGAAAGTATGGAAATAGACCTACTGATTTTTTAAGGGCGGTCTGGAAGTTATAGTTTTCAGAAGCAATTTTAAGACATCAATTGTTCACTGTTGCAAACTTGGTATATTTTGATGCGCCGGTGATCAAAGGCTGTCTTCATAGATTTCACTAATGGAAGGAATCACTTCTATAAAGGTCTTTTTTGTCGTGCAAAGGAAGAGTAACTTCAGGCGTTGCCATATTTTCATTGATGTAATACAAATTTTTAAGGGGAATCTGTGAATATTTTTCCTCCAATTTTAGAGAATTTTTTTTGCAGTCAGTTTTTAATTATCTGAAAGTTTCAAGAAAAAAAAAATTCATAACTCTCTCTGAAAATAAACATTCATCAAAGGGAATTGGGCAACTCTCGAATGTTCATACAGCATTTTTCCTTAGCTTATTGTATTCTGTCTTGCCCTTTGTCAGGCAACCAATTGAGTTCACCCATTCCTTCATGTTGAAGCTTTTCCAGAAATATAGCATTTATTATACCCCTCCATTTGAATTCTGTCTAATCGGTAAAATCGATCTAGGTAAATAAATTTTGTTTACTCATTGTCAGCTCTCTCATACAGCCACAATACAACTAAAAAAAACTATTTTTAACAACTGTGCCCTGTAAAGCTGACGAAATAATTATGTTGGCATTCATGAAGAAAATTTTTTTCTGATGATATTGTTTTTGCAGAGATCTGAAGCCTCCAAATTTATTGTTAGTGCAAAATGGGAAAATTTTGAAGATCTGTGATTTTGGTACTGCCTGTGATTTGAAAACTTACATGACGAACAATAAAGGTAGCGCAGCATGGATGGCACCAGAAGTATTTGAAGGTATATTATCTGTATTTTTTATTTCTCATTTATGACATCGTATTACAAATAAAACAATGTTGGATATAAGCTACGGGGAAACCGACTGCAAACCAAGATTTGATTATTTTTCAAAGTTATTTTAGTCAAAAGCCTGGCTTATTAAAAAGGAAGAATGATGTCACATCTTGTGAATTTGATCAATGTTAGAAGTACACATAACATTCTTTCTTGTCCTTAGTGTGAAATTTGAAAGAGAAATAAAGTAAAAGTTTGTATTTCATGCGTATCCTGCTCACGGTCCAATTTCTGCATTGATATTTTTGCCTAAGTGCCAAAATCCAAGTTTTGAGAAAATCAGGAAAAACTGCCACTCTGTATGTGTTCAACCTTATAGACCCATAAAATGTATCTGTGTAACAAACAAGTTCATGCCAAATTGCTTGCTTTTTTCAATTGTTCTCAAAACTTGGATTTCAGCACTTGGGCCCTTAAAAAAATATTGGTTCAGCTGCTCAGGTATCAAAAATGATAAATCAGTGTCTGTAAGCCTGGAAAGACAGAAAATTTGAAAACAATTTCCGAAATTTGGAAAAAGTGCGGAAAATGTATGATTTGTCTAGAATTTGCTATATTATACGGATTGATTGAAACAGTTATTGTGTGAGTTGTACTGTTAGCAAGTGTGAAGTCTGTGAGGACAGCCATTTTGTGAGTGTTAGCAAGGTATTTTAGATGTGAGCCATGGAAAAACTGACAGGCCACTTGAATTTTTCTATGGTCAGGAGAAAGCACCTAAAAAGTCTGTAAACTTTTTTAAAAGATCCCAGTAAAATTCTTGAACATGAGAATAAGATGTACAGACTTTGTACCACTCAGAAATATCATTGAACCTCATTCTCCTTCTCCACTTAAGATCTAACGAAATTCGGTCAGAAAAATCAGGATACTGGCTGTTACAGTCCCTAAAACCACATAGTAAAAATGTCCCTCAGGTGAGAAATGAACTTTTTTTAATGAATGTATGGTAAACTTCTTGCATAATAGCGCTAAATTAATGCAAAGTTAGTTCAATAGACTTGATTGTCGGAAATTTTTTTTCGGTAGTAGAGTGTCAAACTTGTCTGGCAGTTTTCATGAATCATACTTCTATTTTAATCAAAATAATTCTATTTGTTTCAGGTTCCAATTACACCGAAAAATGTGATGTTTTTAGTTGGGGTATTATTTTGTGGCAAGTTTTAAGCAGACAGAAGCCATTTGACGATATAGGAAGATCAGCTTACAGTATAATGTGGGCAGTTCACATTGGCAAGAGACCACCATTAATAGAAAATTGCCCGAAACCCATTGAATCTTTGATGACAAGGTTTGTAAAGCGAGCAAAAAATATTCAATTTATCACTTCTAAAGATTTATTTTGAGCATTGACTCAATGATGAAGTATTCTTTTGATCAGAGACTCTTAAAATGAAAAAAAAAAAGCGTAATGTAAAGAGTATCATGATTGCTTTTTATCGCCTTGTGCAATTTTCCTCTAATGAATCTCTACAAGCAGATTAATTTCTACAAAGAGGGATCCGATTTAAGTCATAAGCTCATACTTTTATCATGAATCTAGGTGAAAAATGTGAAAAATCTTATGAATTTACTTGAAATTATAATTTATGAATCTCCTGAACTTTAAAGGAACTAACTTTCTCTCTATAGTTTCCAATCAATTCTTCTTTTTTAGATGCTGGGATCAAGCACCAAATCTAAGACCTTCTATGAACGAAATCGTAAGAATTATGAAGATTTTAAACTCATTCTTCACTGGATATGATGATCCAATTATTTATCCAGAGGATTCTGATTTTGGTAAGACTTATGAAGTTACCAGCTACTCATTATTCTTAATTTAAGAAGACAAAAAAAGCAAGCTTGTGTCTTTAAAAATGAAAAAAAGCTTGATTAGAGGGCCTTGCAAGTGCCAGTAACAATAAGCAGAGTAAATTGCAAACAGTCGAATATTAAATTTTCAGTAGGATTGAATTAGCGTTGAGTAAAAACAAACGTTCAAATTATAACTCTGATTCGGCGAATCTCCGGAGATCAGTAAAAATGTGTTAAATTATACTTTTATTCAAGAGCAGTTTGTGCCTGTCGTAGGGTCAAAATCATGGGCCTTACTTATGACTGTCATCTCCAAAGGACAAAGGCAAATCTATTTAATGTTTAAATATAATCTACAAGTGTAATTGTTTCAAATTTTTTATCAATTTGCATTAGTGATTTTGATTTTTCATATAATTGCAACCTATCTTCATGAACGTTTTCGTTAATTTTTCCAGAAAGTTATGACGAGGATGAAGACTACTCAGGGAATTACTCAGATGTACCGGACACATATATTGAAAGCTTAAGTAAGTTTTTAATTACTTTTTTCCATCGTTGCCCATTTGCTCTGAAAATTTAGGAAGTGATGATTAGCTCTAGTTATACAATGGCGTTTTGAAATCATCACCTTCCGGCCAAAGTATTGCAAGTGTCATTTGCCATTTGTGCTTAAACATTGTGTTGCCAAACTAGTTCAATTTTTTGTATAAAAACTGATGAACAGAACGCTTGAAAATGTTACTTAATATTTCCTCATCAAGTCATCACGATTAATCCCTGAAAGGGGTGTATGCAAAATCGACAAAATTTCCCCCCTCATGGATGTTGACCAAATTTC